AATTAAGAGTATTTTTGTCAAATAAAACAATATGAATGAAAATTACTTTATGTCGGGATTGATGACGAAGCAAGCGTGGACTGTGTAATATTCCAGCGGTACTGGGACTCCACACGGAGTGCGGTAAGTAGTGATCACGCACAAATTGTGCGGTTGATCGGCCTCTCTTTCAAATAATAATCAAAGCACTAAATGTGCACTACAAACCCAAAGAGTCAGAGAACCAGTTTAGTTAAGTTTTATACCAAGAAATATGCTGTTTCAAAATTATTTTTAAATTAAAGCAACTTGAATTTCCTCAGTGATTCAGCGGAACTGTGGATGAGGAATTGACCAAAAAAGCAGGAATGATGTTTGCTGTATGTACCAAAGCATTTCAAATCCAAGTATTTTTTCATTCGAAAAAAGGAAATGTTGACAGGTGACAGGTTGACAGGTGACTGTTGACAGGCCAATCAAATGTCACTTGTTGAAGTACTTATACATTAAAATCCCGACAACTGAACCTCAGGGGAATGGAGTTATCCAGAAAAAGTATTTATTAAACTAAACCACTTCATTGTGGTACGTACCTTCGTGTGGCAAAACTTTCGTATCGCTTAGTCATTTCAACAACGTGAAGTGCTGCTATTTTTTTCACTTGGGCTTCCCTATGTGTGGTCATATGACCTTTCTTTTTACGGTCACATGGCCGCTGCAGTGTCAGCTATTGGACTGCCTGAAGGGGACTACAATTGGGCCCGCGTTGCAATCAGGTTAGTTTCAGCGTCTTGAAAGCCAGGATTACACAGTTGCAGCTACATGTACGTTGATTTATGCAATGTGCTGGTCCTCGTCAGAAAAGAAATGAACTTGTGGTGACTCCTAACCCTATATAGTCTTCTGATACTTTCAACGCCGTTTGAAGCATTTTGGTGGCGGTTTTTTGAATCAGAAACTTCAAAATAAGTGGATGTAATGGTGTGGGCATTGTTCGAGTTACGGTGATATTTTTGTACATAAAACTTTAAGCCTTTTAACCAGTGACGTACATAGCACTGAT